CATCTTCAATGATGGCAATCATTCGCCCGACACTAACAGCTTAACCAAAGATGACAATAAAGCCGATAGACTTCTCAAAGTCAAACACCGTTTCCTCAATTCTGACGGAAAAGTTGAGAAAGAGTTTAATACTGAAGAGTTTGTTATGTTATGAAAGCTTTTCGTTGTTTTTACAAATTTTTATATCAAAAATATATTTCTATTTATTTCGTAAATACTTCCCAAAGAGTTTAACTAAAAGTTTGCTATTTATTGAATCTCTCGATCCCTACAATCCATTCAACAAATAGTTTCAGTTATCCTTTTGGAACTCCTTATCATATATTATCGAAAATATATTTAGAAAATCGATAATTAATTTTAATCATTGAAATCAATTGAAAAATTTTAATTTTATTGTTTTAATTGTACTTTAAATGAAAATATATTAAATAAAAAGTGGAAAAATATATAAAATCTAATTAAACTAATGACAAAATTGAATACAGTGTATGAGCAGCCGTTGGATACTGTGTTAAAGGCACGTCTGGTTCGGATATAAGTGTTTGGCTTTGATTATGACCGCATGTGATGACTAGTTCCGTCAATTCATTTCAAATGGATTTACTTTTTTTACTTTAGTTTCGATATTTATATTTGGAATTAATTTTGAATAGTATTGAGTCATTGAATAGGCTTTTGGCTAACGTTAATAGCCTTTGAATATCTTTTTAACATAACTCTTGTTCTCAAAGAGACTACGGATCAGATAGATCTGCACTAATCCCACACTAAACATAACGCCGATTGAGAGCATTGAGAAGCGATTGACGTAATCATAATTGGATTCCGCGATATTCCGGTCCCTGTTCTCGACGGCTCGCCTTATCTCTTGTTCGTGAGTCACGCGAATCATGTCATCCCTTACTTTGTTGATGGATGTCTTGAATAAGAAATCAATGGGCGTTAAAACGGTATTCAATAAGTGATGAATCGCTTACTTTAATCGATTCAACAGAATCTAAATACTGGACTTCAGGGGGGAAAGTGAAGTCTCCATCCATTCCCCACCTGTCGTTCTCGTCGGACGTCGAGTAGACATAGATCTCCAGATTGACTATCTTTGCGGACACTGTGCTGAAGCTGTTGTCCAAACAAATGGCATAAACTCCTTGTTCTGGCTTTAATACAGATAACAGATATGATTAGTGATTACAGTTACACATCAGACTAAATACACGTCAGTTTAGACCACAATCACTGCAATCATGGTTTGCAGCGATTTAATGGTCAATTAAACGCCGGTTTGGATCTCATGTCAAAGTTATAACAAATTGTGATAAATTGATAAATGTTTAAGACATGAAATGGACACAAGAAGTGCATATATGAAGGTTAATCTGATTACCGCTTTATAGACGTGTTGTCCCTCTTTTCGACGCATTTCTCTGAAGATCTCGACCCCATTGGGGTCTTTGACGATGAAGTCGATGGTGAGGTCAGAGGAGTGGGAGGGCGTGTATATCCAGTTGAATCGGGACGATATCTCGACCACCTGGTAGGAAAGGTCGAGGTTGTGGTCCCGTTTGACGTCCTGATAATAGCAGTCATGATTGCCTGGCTCAACTGCAATCCTCACTTCGATGTCTTGGGAATCGCCAGAATCGGTGCCGAAAGGAGTCAAACAATGGCACCGATTGACTGATATAACGGTCAATACAGTGATCACTAGTAATGCATGTCTTGGGATGCAATGAATTAACGGTAAACCTAGTAATGAACTCATGTCTGGATACGGATTGAGTGAACAGTTATTGCTATAAATGCTATAAAAGGCAAACAAATGCTAACTTTGTGTACAAATTTGCACTAAAAATAATTGACAAACAATTGACAACTAAAAGGAAAAACTAATGAAATAAACGATTAATTATTAATAAACTGAATGAATGTATGAATGTTTTGAGACATTAATATGTAATACATTTACACGTGATTTGAAAGTCAGAGCCCATAGAGAGAGGCATAGAGTGAGGCTATGAATGAGAAGTGAATTGTGTTTGTAGTGAATGTGTATTGAATGCATTGCTATATCCATTGCAATACGATTGTATGGGAAATACATGTATTATAGCATTGAATCGCGTTTTGTTTGCTTACTATTCAGTGAATAGAGAATTATATGAAGAGAATTGAGCGAAGAATGAGCACTAATGCAGACAAACCCCTACCAAACCCTACACTACACTATTCACTACACTCTATACACTATACACGGATAGACCTAATAATTGGATTGAATGAAGGCATGCCAGACATGGATTGCATGGATTGTATGCATTGTATGGATAGTATGGTTGCCATACGAGTCGTGTATCTCTAGATGTGGCGATCGATGGCTCGGCTGCGCCTCAGATAACAAACCTATCGTTGAATATACACTCAACTCAACTGAATATTCTGTGCAATGCTTTAGGTCTGGAAAATGGCTGCGAATATGTCTTTCAATCAGCTCTTCATTTTCTGTTTCGCCAACATTTTTATCATCAATACATTCCTCGTCGGTGTTATCACAGCCACCACTGAACCAGAGGTCATCTTCGAGGCTGCCTTCCAAGGTATGCACCGTTTGAACCACTTTTCAAACATTCACTCAAACTTTAAATACGAAAACATTCATGAGTTTACATCAAAACTAGTTATTCTTGAGTTTTAATTTAATAATTTATAATTTTTTATTCTATAGAATTAATTTTTCCTATAGTAATGATAAATGTAGTAAATATTATGAATAAGTACCAGGCTCATTGTAATGGAGCTAATGGAAGTTAGATTCTTCTACCCGTTGCAATCTTTACTCTATTCGCTCTATTCATTCACATATCACACAAAAGTTGACTCAATTTTTTAATCTCCTGTGGTTTTAGTTGTATTAATATTCCTTTAATATATTTTATGCATTTCCTAAATTAAAAGAAGTTATACTCTTATCTGTCATTCTCTATGCCTTTGAGTATTTGATTGATGTGATCGCAGAATCGTGTGATTTATTTGCAAAAAGTTCATTTATATTGTTATGAAACTGATTTAATGTTAATATTGTTGCTTTAAAATGGGATAATTAATAAAATTTTAGTCATTTATATTTTAATATTCTAGTCAAAAATGCTTATATGATAGCAACAGAATTCAAGCCTAACGAAATGCATAGAAATATATTAAGAATTTTTATAAACAACATGAGTGTTAAAACTATGAAATAAGACATAAATTAATTAGTGATTTATTATAATTGTATGAATTTGTGTGGATGTGTAGGCGAGTGTCGGGTGTCTGGTCCGTGCCATCAGCTGTGCTTTGATCTTCATGATGGTAATTCTACCCGTTGCAATCTTTACTCTATTCGCTCTATTCATTCACATATCACACAAAAGTTGACTCAATTTTTTAATCTCCTGTGGTTTTAGTTGTATTAATATTCCTTTAATATATTTTATGCATTTTCTAAATTAAAAGAAGTTATACTCTTATCTGTCATTCTCTATACCTTTGAGTATTTGATTGATGTGATCGCAGAATCGTGTGATTTATTTGCAAAAAGTTAATTTATATTGTTATGAAACTGATTTAATGTTAATATTGTTGCTTTAAAATGGGATAATTAATAAAAATTTAGCCATTTATATTTTAATATTCTAGTCAAGAATGCTTATATGATAGCAACAGAATTCAAACCTAACGAAATGTACAGAAATATATTAAGAATTTTTATAAACAACATGAGTGTTAAAAACTATGAAATAAGACATAAATTAATTAGTGATTTATTATAATTGTATGAATTTGTGTGGATGTGTAGGCGAGTGTCGGGTGTCTGGTCCGTGCCATCAGCTGTGCTTTGATCTTCATGATGGTACGTTTGAGTGTGCTTGCTCAAGTGGGACTCTGGACAACAACGGCTACAGTTGTAACGGTTAGTACTGAACACATAATTATTTCATACTTCTATCACAACTTGCAATCAATCATCGCATGAAATAATGACAAACAATAAGAATCATTGAATTATTTGAGACAATATCTGTATAACAAACCAATACATCAAATCTTATTACTCTTGACATGTATTTCTCAATTCATTTAAATCTCTAAATATCGCTATAAATAAAGGGATTTAAAGGCTAAAAATATGAATTAAATTAAGTTTTTTTTATTTCTTTTATGTAGTCAAATTAAATGTAATCAGTTTAACGCAAAACTTTAATTAAAATCACTTTTGATTAATTAATAATAAATTAATGTATATTTATTATAACCATTCATCAATTCATTCATTAAATCATATATCAAATGGAATATTAATTAAATTCTCTAATTCTACAATCTCACACACATTCATACAATTATAATAAATCACTAATTAATTTATGTCTTATTTCATAGTTTTAACACTCATGTTGTTTATAAAAATTCTTAATATATTTCTATGCATTTCGTTAGGCTTAGTGTTCAGTACTAACCGTTACAACTGTAGCCGTTGTTGTCCAGAGTCCCACTTGAGCAAGCACACTCAAACGTACCATCATGAAGATCAAAGCACAGCTGATGGCACGGACCAGACACACACACACACACACACACACACACTTCCTCTATCTCCCTCTTTATTTCTCTACTAAATGCTAAATTATTATAATTATTTTATTTGCATTTTATAAAAATTATATAAAAATCTAAGAGTGTCTAATATATAATTTATTACCATTGTATGCATTCCTTATAAACAATTCTTTATTTAATTACTTGAAGTTTATTTTAGAGTATTTCCAAAATTATTGCATAATTTAGCGATTTATAGTAATAATTTTGAGTGTAATAATAAAAATCCTATTATTTGATCATTCAAAGAGTAGAATATTAATGCAATTTACTTCATGTTTTAGATCAACAAAACGATTTGTTTGAGAATTTGATTGTCTTTAGTTTTCCCATAAGTTGTCTGAATATTAGCAAAAGTTGTAAATGAATGACATATAGAATCAATGTGTCTGTTGATGATACCTATTCCCACCGGTGCTCATATACTTATATAAATGATTGCTTTGCTATTATAGTTTAACTCATCATAAATCATATGAACCCCTCTTTCTTTATATTGTCCTTAATTTAAGCCAAAATACATTGTAAACTAATACTTCACAATAATATAAAATTAGATACAAAAACTCTAATAATTACCACATATGGATTACTCCAAAATTACTGTACAGTATATTAATTAATTTTGTCTTTGATAGCAAGAAATTTTAGTTAGTTTTCAAACTAAATACAGTATAAAACAGAAATTTTAAACGATAATAATATTTAATATAATTTTGGAAATGTGAATTATTTATTTGGTGTGAATAAACTCAAAGTTATTTTGATTAAGACTAAATACTATAAAAAGAATTAACATTATTCAAATGAATTTAATGATATTATTTTGTTCAGCAAATCAAAAATATGTTGAATAATAATCACTACAAACTCATAGCAAACCTATTGTATGGTGTTGTAGAGCACAATGAATGTATGCAGCCATACATTTAAGGTATTTCTTTACACCTGAATTGCAATCCCTTTATTGTATTGATTTAATTAAAACTCGGTGCAAACACTAACGCAGTGTTCACTCAAAAAACAAGTTTTAATTTCTTTGCATTCATATCATACCGTGTTTTGCATTGTTTGACAAAATTTATTCATAATATATTGTATTATAATTATGTAGTAAATGAATGAATAGAAGAACTGAATTTGTGTTGATAAACAGTTCCCTTTGATCTCACATTTATAATTCTGTATGTCATGAATTACTTATTAATAATAAATACACCATGATTTAATCAATTAGTTGAAAATTAATAGAAATTGAATTAATCTAGGCAACATATTCTTCAACATATTACCTTCTCTGATAAATCCAGTTTTATATACAAATATTATGGCATATAAAATACTGTCCGTTTATATTGAATATGAAATTCTTAAGAATAGAGTTAATGATAATAATTTTGAAAATTATTATTCATGTTTGATAAATGCTGTCATCGACCAGATTGTGAGCATTTAGTATAAATAGTATGGATGGGTCTCACCAATGATGGCTCATTAGAAACGTTTACTATTGTACCATTAAATGAATAGTTAACATGCGTTCAAATAAAGTATATTTGAATGAAACCATCGATTCCTTTATTTTATTGATTGGATATAAAAATGTTAGCGAATGTAGTGTTGGGTTAGTGTTGAGAACATGGAATTCATTTCCTATTATCAGCCCGTATTTGGTACTGGAGTTGAATTTGGAGAACACATGCAATTGTATTACGAATATAAGCCTAATATAAGTTACACTTAAGTGAAGTACGGCATCGGTTCGTAATTGAGTGCAATCTTATATATTGAGTCCAATATGAGTTAATAATACAAACTTTTTAGTCAATTGTGTTTTCCTGGATAAGAGTCTCTGAAAGTCTCAAATTTGTTGCCATCAAAGCCAATAACTACTCACTCGACTAAATGTTATAGAGTTTTAGCAATAAATAACAAAATATGTTTTGTTAGGTCACACCCTATCTGACCATTATACAGATAATTATAGCATTATTTTGATATAACATTATTTTTGCTGATAAACATTTATTTTATAAAATCTAAAAAAGAAATTTTGGTTTAAAATAAAGTATAATAACAACATTTAAATGGATTATGAATTTTAAAAATGATTCCTTTAGAGAAAATGTTTAAAGTTTTTTCTACTTAATTATAAGTTATATTAAATTACATTCCTTTTCGTTGGTTCAAATACTTTATATTTATGAAACACATTATTTAATCAATATTTTTGTAAGATTTATATAAATAGTACTTACTGTAAGTAGTTTTATTTTAATATTATTGTAATAAATGAAAAATATTAGCTCTTTTAATCATCACTCACATAATCTTAATGTTGACAATACTGTATTAGCATAAAACTTAAACAGTTTGTTCGTTACGATAATACTTGAATTATTTGCCAGTTATTGCAAACACATAAGAATAACATAAGATTAAAGTAATCTAAGAATCACTGAATAGCATACGAGCCATGAATTCTCATTTTCTTAGCTATTCTGTAGACTCTGTAAATATTTAATGTTCTCCTAAATACATGTCTCCAACACTGGAATGAAGTAATTTTTTATTCTTAATGAATGAGACTTAATATTACTTAATATAAACCACAATTTTAGTAAATATACAATAGTATTATTTAAACAAATAGCTAAGAGTGAAAATTATGCATTTTGTGCTATTATGCAATATAAATACTTTTTTTTATACATTTTTACGTAAAATTAGAGATAAAAAGGAGAATATTAATAATAGAGACAAATATTCGTGATTGTGTTCAGAGTATTAAAGATTATATTCTTTGATGTTTAGTTTATGATATATTATCATCCACTCTATTCTTTACTCTATTTAATATTCTAGAGCCGTATCATTGACTTACTATTTAATATAAGTTCTCAAACAACAACATAGAATCCATTTATAGTATTAAACTACCGTATAAGTAAATGTAATTTGTATAAAACTAACATAAATTAAATGTTACATTTGCTGAATATTTAAAATCAATAAATAAATTGTGTTTAAACTAGGAAATTTATCTCAAAGTACTGTACGTACTCCAAAGTGTGCCCCTCCCACATTCTTACTGTGGATACCGGTAGATTTCTTTATCAAATGAACCTACATTTTCATTAACGTTTATAGCAATTATAGAAATTAACCTTCAGGCTAATTTCAACAAAAATAATTTAAAAATTGTCCATGAATAAAATTTATTTAATGTTAATTGCTGAAAATTTTACAGTAAAAAATTGACATATTTTAATCTTTTGAATTTAATTGAAGATTTAAATAAATATAGTCGGAAATAACTTATTTATAATACTGTAATAATAATTATTATTGTATTAGTAATACGATAATACTATGGTACTGTAAGGTATAGAACTTATTTATTAGTACAGTACTGTATATTGAAAATGTATTCTCAGAGTAATAAATTCCTTTAATTGAAACCTAGGGGCACATACACTAATTTTATTTAATTTTATATACCTGTAATTTAACATTTTAACTTATAATAATGAATTTTTTCAATCTTATCTTTTATCAACCCCACCCCCGCAAGTGAATATATTTTTAAACCAATACCTCGTAAAATATTCGTCTATTTTGATAAGTTATGTTGTGATCCCTCGCCCACACCAATGCATACTTACTTCAGGGACTGTATAGAATACATGAACACTATGTCATGTATATTATTATGTTTGAAAGAATTATGCTTTAAATATAAGAAAATATAAGTTCTTTAAGTAAATGAGTAGTTCATCTCTTTTACTATATTCAAAGTGTTTACAAATTTTCATTATTTTTAGAAATGAACAAAATTTTTAATTATAAAATCAAACATAATTATTTATTTAGTAAAATGTAATATATTCAATCATTCTACATATTAATGATTATTTTCTATTTTGATATTTAATTTAAATTCTATTATTAATTTTTATTTTATTTATTCAGTGTTTTAAAACATTATAAATTATTTTTTTAATAAATAAATATGGTTAATGTATAGCTTTTAATTATTAGGTTAAAATCAATTCTGTCTCTTATTATTATTTTTTTAGTAAAATAATTTTTTAATACTGAATTTTAATATATAATATACTGTAGTTTTATTTAAAATGTTATAATTTTGTTAAATAAATAAATTACTAAAATTTGTTTATAATCTTGTTATTTACTGTTTTCGTTTGGTCCAAGTTAAAAAATTAATCAAAACATTTAAATTAAAGTAAAAGTTTAATAATGTTTATATAAATTAGATAAAAAGCTTTTTGGTAAAATTCACAAAATTTTTGTGGCTTTGAATCACGAATAAAGTTATTTAAGTAAACTATTTCTCACTTTACATTGAGTTAAATGAAGCGAATTCTGTGAAACATTCTTCAGTTTATTCCTATTTTTTAGATTTAAATCAATAAATTAAATGAAACTAAACATAACACATGAACAGCAATACATGTTATCCGTCTGACATGTACTATAAAACGAACAAAACATTGAATTTAAAAAATAAGAATTATGTTTAAAAATAAAATGTATTTTCCTTTAATGCCAATAATGGCATTAATTATACTCTAAAAGGGTGTGAATTATAGAATTTTATAGAAAAAGTGATCACTCGTCCAAATAATCTCAAATGTGTTGCAGTGAAGTGTCTTTTAAATAAATGTTAGCTCTCGGAGTCATTATTACAATTACTGAGCAAATACTGATTGTAAGACCACTTTAATGCTGCCATTCTGTCCAAACTCCCTGAACCACAATCGTGACTACAGCAGCTTGGTGTTTACTTTCATATACTATTTACTCAATTAATAAACCAATGTTATATTCTTTACAATGTGATTAAATTAGGCTCAGAAATTACCAATTAGTTAACATTATTTTGGAAATCGTAATATACGGTACTTTGGAAAATATAGAAACTGTATTCAAATGAAGTGGTTTATTCATATAACTTAAGTGTCACTTCATATTCATTGCATATGATGATGTCATTATTATGATTACTACTACAATATTACTACTATACAAATATTTTATTTACTATTAAATTATATTTCTAATCAAATCTAACTTGAATTATATTGAAAATGTACAGAGAACAGTTTAAATGGAGTGAATTCGACCAAAAATCTTAGAAAAGTATTAAGAAATAAACAACTATTTGTTGGAAAACACATTGAAAACAATCTGTTGGACACAAATGAGGACCAATTGGAAGAATTAAGTGCTCAACAGAAACACATATACTATTCATGCGCTGACATTGAGTGCGAGGCCGGAGGTCTTTGCATATTAGATGAAAGGCATTTAGATAAGAGAATCAGATGCCGGTGCCCTTTGGGAAGGGGAGGATTTTTCTGTGAGAAACGTAAGTCAGCACTCTTAGTAAATCTTTTTAGTAAAATTAATATTTTGCCACATTTTAAACCAATTGAATCAATTGAATGTATTTCTATCTCAAAAGCCGTTGAAATCCGATTTCCGCGGTTTAGAGGAACGTCTTATTTAGCGCTCCCGACCCTAAGAGATGCCCACAGATCCATGCAAATCAACATTGAGTTCAAACCCGAGCACTACGACGGGGTTGTGCTCTATAGCGGTGAACAACAGACTCTGGAGGGAGACTTCATTTCCCTGACACTCAATCAAGGATTTGCTGAATTCAGGTCTCACTTGCATTTTATGCATGACTTCCAATTATTTTTAAGCATTCTTCATATGACATCTTACATTCACCAAAAACATGATTTTATGTTCAATTATGTTATCCAAGAATTTAAAAAATTTTATATATGAATTACCAAATCATTGAAGTATAATTAATATTTTTTATCATCAAGAATTCTAATAAACCGCAATGTTGCTTTATTGATTCTTACGATTAGTATAGTGTAGTGTTTTTCATTTTAACAAGACCTTACCACAGTTCTAGCATAAATTATACGGTCCAATGAATATGTGTATGAATTTAGATTTGACTGCGGAATGGGTGATGGAGTGATTCGGAGTGATATGCCAGTGGTTCTCAACTCTTGGAACACAATAACCATATATAGGGACGGATGGACGGCATGGATGCAATTGAATCAGGGACAACAAATATCCGGACAATCAAAGGGCTTATTCTCGAGAATAACGTTCCGTTTGGAGACATTTCTGGGCGGATCGCCTAATATCAGTCAAATTGCCAAAAGAGTTCATTCAGACAATGGTTTCGTTGGATGTGTTCGTGCGCTTCAGATCAATGACCGGACGTATGACTTTCGCACTGATAATAGGGGTGACACTATTGATGGCGTCGATATTGGTTTGCATTTTTCAATCTATTAATCAATATATTCATAAAAATGTTACTTTTAATTCATTGACATCTCATATGTACTACACAGAGATGTGCACTTCAGACATATGCAGCAAAATCTCATGTCTTAACGGCGGGCAGTGTGTGGCCCTATCAGCCGACAGAGGCGTTTGCTTATGTCCTTTGGGTATGAGTTTTGTTATATAACTTAAATGAAATGGTTTTGTTGTAATTTTATCATATTTCTCAACGCATAATAGGATTTGCCGGAGATTATTGCGATATAGGTTTGTCTATTTATTTAACCTATAAAATTACACTCTCTTTCTTTCTGTCTTTCTCTCGAATTGTATTTTCTCTGTTTGTCTCATATTTGGAGTCTTAAAAAGCATTGCTGTTAACAATAGAGAGACAAAATCTTCCATTAAGTAAAGCAATCGATATTTTTGTAATGTTTTTATTTATTATTTTAGAAACAGATTTCATGATTCCGTCGTTCAACGGGTCCTCATATTTACAATTCCCAGGACTCGGACGCACTTTCCTGTCGTTTATTGAAGTAAAAGTCGTGTTCAAACCCCGTTCCCCTAATGGCCTATTCCTGTATAATGGGGATCGAATGGACGGCAGCGGAGACTTTGTTTTACTTAATTTGATTCATGGATTCGTTGAGTTTCGCTTTGACTTGGGGTCGGGTCCGGCAGTCATTAGGTTTGTTTACTCCTAACATAATATAATTACTTTGAGACCATAAAGCGTTTGTATTGTATTCAAAACTCGGATAATAGGAGTCGACATCCGATTGCGATGAATGAATGGCATAGTGTTGTCATATCTCGCACCGGAAGGCAAGGGATACTGCAAGTGAATGATGAGACACCTGTGACGGCACACTCTTACGGAGGGTTCTCTCAGTTGTCGCTTTCACTCAATCTTTTCGTTGGAGGCGTTCCTGACTTTAAAGACGTTCAGCGAAATGCTTTCGCAACTAATCTATTCAGTGGTTGTATTCAATCAGTTATTGTCAACAATCGGCCGCTTTTGCTCTTAGAAGAAGCCCTATCGGGAGTTAATGTAGTCGACTGTCCACATCACTGCAATGGTCAGCCCTGTCTCAAGGGTGGCAGATGTGAACCACAACTCGATTCCTATCTCTGTCACTGTCCACTCAAATCTTTTGGTAAAAATTGCGAAAAAGGTATTTCAATTAATCATACATTATTAATATCACCAACTTATAAGTTTTGTAGAGAGCTATACGTACAACTGTATCAAATTGTGTATTACAGAATGTACAATGTATTAACATTCATGCTATACTGTACATGCTAATCTTATGCTAGATTCTGTAGAGTACAAGCGCTTGCATTCACTTGTTTAATGTCATTCAATGACTTTTTATACTTAAAGATTAAGTCGTGAAACATATTCGAGAGCTTCGATACCGTTTCTAACCATTACTTCACTCAATCAATGATCCATTTTATCAAAACAAGAATTACAGAACAGTGTAGTAGAGTGTAGTAAGGGAAGTATAGGTCAGAATTGCCAATATATCGATATCTTGCTCTGCATTTAATCTAACGGCTGAAGAGTTTGCGAATCATAGCAATGACAGGCACTCCAAGATTAAATCATCTCTGAGTTTCTATTTTTAGTTTCAAAATTCAATTCACTCTTTCATAATATTTTTCTTTTCAAAAAATTCAAAATACCATTAAATAGTTTATTAGACGCTTATTATATTCTGAATGCACAGAATATCGCACTATATTTATAGTTGACTTTTGGTGAAAATATTTTCCATCAAAATATTCTCTCAAGTGATTATAGCATAAGATGTGTAAACATATGAAGCAAATGATCTCTACTGAGGAGTGAAAGTCATTGAATCACAAATGAGTTGTTTTATGATTGCATTCTCAATGACTCGATTCACATCAGATCATTGTTTGCTTTCATCTCAAATACAAATCATGTAATTAAAAGTTAATTAAGTAAATAAATTATTCTTTAATTGCAAATCTTTTCAAATTCAAATGCTATTTCTGCCATTATTCAAAATAATTTAATTTTATATTTGAATAATTGTTTTATTATAGAAATATAAATTCTGAATAATTTTTATATAAAATATATTTTGAGCCCATTATCTAAATGTCTTTCTTTCATTGAATTTCAGACAATTTTGAATTCTGATTCACATTATATAGGATAAAGAGATTTACAATTCTGTTGATGACATTCGAGTTACTGTATGTTATAGAAAAACTAGTTTTAAAATTGAAAATAGTTTCTGAATTTTAATACAGTATCATTATTATACGTATATCTAAAAAAATAAAATAAAATAATTTAATATGCTTTAATAAATGCATTATAATTCTTAAGTAAGTCGAATTATTTTTAAAATAAGAAAATTAAACAGTAAAATGAAATAGATTAAAATTCTATACAGAATCTTGTATACAATGTAAAGATGTATATCTAACATACCTGTACAGTATAGTGCACTACAATGACTATTGTGTTGAGGTCTGTAAAAGGGCTATTATATTGATTAATGGATTACTTGTAGGAATCGATGATTTGGATTCGAGTCCAATGTTTTACGGAAACAGTTATTTTGAATTTACCAGCGAAGAGATCATGAAGAGAGTGATTGGCTCTAAGATAAGCATTCATTTGAGAGTTCGTGCCTTTAGGTAATCATCACTTCTGTAAAACCATTCACTTGATTAGCAAACCTAATGACAAATATTAATATATGATTATATGATTTGACGACAGCCCTGAAGGTGTCATCTTTTGGACGGGCATTAGAGAGTCAACCGGTTTTAGCGATTGGTTTAGCATTGGTGTTGGCGAAGGATTTGTTAGATTAGCCTTTGATTTGGGTTCGGGAGAAGTGGAGACGGTATACAACGTGAGCCGAATAGATGATGGCCAGTGGCATGACATACATGTGTCGAGACACAAACGTGAGGCACAACTCCGAGTGGACGACAATATCCCATACAAAGCCATATCTCCCGGATCTCAAATCCAATTAAATACAAAAAGTGGATTATTCTTAGGTATTCTTAGGAATATTCTTAGGATTATTCAATGCATTGCTTTTATCCATTTGCACAGTAATAGGGAATACATTATAACTATTGATTTTGGTCTTGCATTACAGGGGGCTTAGAGGACACTCCCATTCAAACGTATAATAAATACAAAAGAGGTTTCATCGGTTGTGTATCGCATATAACTTTGGCCACTGATTATCACATAAAGCCTATGACTGAAGCCATTCGAGGCATTAATATTAGATCATGTATTTAGTTGTGGTGTTTGGCAAACAGACAGACTTTTCTACCACCACTACCTCACCCTTCAGAAGAACTTCTATTGCAATAAATTAAACTAATTATTATATAATTAGCAAATTATGGGCAAAACATGAAACTGTGATAATCATATTATGCTTCACAACATTGTACATAAATATTTCTATTATTTGTCCATCGATTCAATCGTCGATTCATTTTAATTATCAAATATTTTTGGTTCAAATGAACTTAAAATCTAACACACAATCAAGTCTTTAAAACAAATTTTGGTAAAAATAAGTTTTATAGGAATTATGCTTTCAATGTGAGTCTTCTATGAATACGATTACCAATTGAGATAATAATCAGCACCGGGAGGCTGTCATTATACTGTAATAACTAATTTATGAATATAACAATACAGTACTGAACTCATCAAACGATAGTTCACTTAATAATTAAATAATTAATGAAAAGCTTATATATATAGCAAAACTATGTGCCTCTCTCTCCGATCTCTTAATTTGTTATCAAAACTTTGGATTTGTTTTTCATTTGAATAACTTGTGATTTCCTAGATTGTGAAACATTATCATAAGATTTATATACAATATAATTTTCATTCGTTGAAGTGAATGCTTAATTCACTTCAACTTAATTGTGATATAGAATAGCATTGAATATAATGTACAGTCAAATGTGTCGCAAACTTATTATCATTTTCTAGTCTATCAAACGGAAACAAAATCATAACAAAAAAGTAATAATTTGTGAAAAACATACTAATATTGATATTATTGTAAAAAGTTTTGTTTTTTAAAGAACCAGAATATAAGCACTTTTTCACTGTTCTCTTGATTAGTATGTATTGCACTTCAGATTAGAGAGACTAACAGACAGACAGACAGACAGACAGACGGGTCGGACATATCAAATGTTGCAATACTTGTCATTTGCTATTTAATTATGTATGGTATTCAATATAAACAACAAATCAATTGTTATAAACAAATATTATAACAAAAACTTTGGACATACAGTATAATTATATATAAGTATAAATGACTGCATATACAGATATACTTAGCAATTGAATGTTAAGAGTGTTTTGCAGTATTCATAACAAAGTAGTGAACAATTGAATAAAATTCATTCATTTTACAAATTATTCAAATTATTTCACAAAGTTTTTGCATTAATATAAGACTTTATCTGTGGATCTGTGGACGCATCCTATAATCAAATCTCCGTCTAAATCAAGTGCTTTCGAAAGCATATCATAAGTCTATGCATTATTCATAAGAATATTCTGTAAATTTAATTAACAAAATAAATGAATCCTTTTTGAGATTTTCATTTCCACCAATCATGAGCACAGGTAGGTTTGTCATCAATTAACATTTAATGCAAAAGTGGTGAAATATATTTCATTTCAATTATTTTATTGCGAATATTTGGGAACAAATTAATTAATAATTAGTTATTCTTAATAATAAAATAAATTTAAGAATAAATGTTTAGGAAATGTAAAATAATATCAATACACATCTAAAGTAATGATACATTTTTAGGTTATTAAAAATAATCTACTATATAATAAATAAAATCATTCATGAATATTAATACAGTATAAGGAATATACCCTTCAAATTCTTATGGCATCTAAACTCTCCGCCATTATTGCTGCACTCGTTTTCTAATATTTTGACTGGGATATCGTTGAGCTAGATCAATTCAAATGTTATGAGAAACATGGTTTTTTTGCACCAACATGCTGATATGACACATTTGTCCCTAATCCTAAGGGCCTGGTATGGGACAGGGATCGTCGAGATCATAAAAACTATACATGATAATCGAGTTCTGATTTTTGGAAGGGATGCGCGAGGTCATTCTTAAAAAACTAATTTCTGGATTAGTCGAAATTTTACTCGGTTGATTTTTAAAAATTCCCTAAATATAAAAAATAGACATTTTTAGACATATTTATCTCAGAAATGGGTGAATGTATCTGTTCTCTCAACAGGGTTCAAAAGATCTTTGAAAATATTAAAAATCATTTGCTTGCACCAAAACTGTATCATGTAACATATTATACTAAACAATTTTATCATATTGTTTTAGTCTAATTTCATTATTCTACATGCATCTATTTTAATTTTAGTATTCATTTAAAAGGTTTAACATATTATTCATACAGTACCTGATAGTATTGTTACTAATAATTTGTTAGTCTAAACTTAAAGTAAATATTATATGAGAAATATTTGTAGTTAAGTAAGATTTATTGGCTTTTTATTAAATTTAAATAGAAATTGGAGGCGTTGTAAGTTGTATATAATAAATTATCATATATTTATACCGTATAAGCTAGAATACTGTAGTTGGTAAAAATACTAAATAAGTTACAGTATTAATAATAACTCTTTTGAACTATTTTCAATTCATTGACACCTAATTTGACAACAAAATAATGTGCTTGCAATATTTAATTGAAATTAAACAAATGTCATTTTACACGGATAAACCTGGATCACCATAAGCCACCTCTAAATCTACAACTGATAAACGTAAAACAATATTTATTTTCTGTTAAACCCATTGACAAACCAATGTTATGTAAATATATTTCAGAATATTCTGTATTCAAAATCAAAGTATTGATAGAAATATGCACTGAATATACCGTAAGAATATTGAATGAATGGACGTTATTAGTGGATAACATTTAAAGTCCTATTTGCCAACACGTGCTTTCAGTGCCACTCATATTCCTCTGAGTCTGAGATACCATTGATTGAGTGTTGATTTCAGTATTGTTTGTTTGAGGGTCTCTTCATCTGACAGTCTGTCCACATGTTGGCCGAACCCAAACGTAAGACATGTTGGACTCTGAACCCACGCGGCAAGTATTGGTCTGAAGGTAAGACAGACAGCAATGGAGTAATTGATGGCATGAGTGCTAACAACATATGATATCTTCAGATAAAAGCAAATTCGGACAAAAAATACTGGAATCGATGGGTTGGAAGGAAGGACTCGGTTTAGGCAGAGATGAGAATGGCATCAAAGAGCACATCAAAGTGTCGGTTAATATTGAAAATAAAGGTATCAATTGGTTCGCCATCGATGGTATGAAAACAATGGCACTGATTGTCATCTCGATTCAGGTTTGGGTTATACGCCGTCGGCCGACAGCGTCTGGATTGAGAAGAACGAAGACTATGAGAAACTGTTGGCACAACTGGCCGTTCACTACAACCATGACAGCCATCGCACAGAAAAGGTGTCCGACTTGGAGGTGGTCTCCAAAAAGATGAGGAATAGAGTCCAGTAAGTGGTGAATGAAAGTGTGTTTCGATTGGTTTCTAAATATTAAATCTAATGAATTATTTTCAGTTATCATAAACTAATTAAAGCCAAGAATTTGAGTCAATGTTCGGAAAAGGATTTGATTTCAATATTTCCCAAAAAGAAAGCCAACCCTTCGGACCAATCATCGAAAGATAGGGCAAAGACTTTGCATACAAACGATTGTCTCAATACGAGTGATGCCTTTAAGACGGTGGAGAGCAGTCTCAATATGAATGACTACTTCACGTCCAAAATGAATAAATTGAAACTTAAAATGAATGCAATGAAAGTCGATTCCATTGACACCAATCAGGAAGTGGTGAACCAAAAGGAAACGAGTGATGAAGTGATTAGTGATGTTCGGAACTGTGTGTCTGAAAAGGACACAATGAATGGCAAACATAATGTGATGACTGAAACGAATGATAATCTAAATAATTCCGAAACGGACTCTAATTTGAGTGAAAATAATGTGAAGAAAGGGAAGAGAAAACGAAAACTAATGGAAGAGAATGTGAACAACAATTTGAACGATGGCTTCCCTATAGAAATAGACAATGAATTNATGACTACTGATAAGAATAAAGTGTGACTCACCTGTGCATTGCTATCATTCCGTATAGTGTACGGTAATACGTATAATATACGATACGTTTGATTGAATTGCATAATGTGTACAAATTTTGCAAAGCTCGTGGTTGAATAAAATGAAAGTTATTGAACAAAGTTTATACGGTACACAAATATTTAACTGTAAACTTAGATCACATGTTTACTTTGTTAATTGAATACTCGTTATTCTGGAGTTAACTTTTAAGTATTAGAATTGACATAACTTACGGTACTATCCAATGCAATGTCATACAGTATTACCTTTAATACCCATTTACCGTATAAACTGAATGAAAGCTCGAGTCAAATGTGTAATTGTATTGGCAATAATAAATTGAAAATTAAATTTGGATTTTAATTTACATTTATTTATAATTCTTTGAATAACAATGAATTCTAAATATAATGCGATTCCAGAGTCGAATCAATCGATTGAAGTCTAAAATCTATTACAAAAACAGAAAGACATTCACTTTTTTATGTTTATATTATGACAATTGTTAACAAATGGTTTTACATAATAATAATAACTGTATTTAAATATTTTAGCATTTCTTTACCCAACAATTAAGGACTGATTTATCGATAATTTTACGTTTAAATCCTTTTGATTTGACGTGTATTTAAATATAGAGAAAATTGGATAATTTGTATATTATATTTGAAATTACAGTCAATGAAAATCAAACATATAGTAAGTATTGGAGAGAATTCTGCAATGAATTGAAGTGTTTTTATAATACAAATACAACTTATATACAGTTTTAGTCCATTGTCTCCATTCAACTCAATCCATGTGTCGTTTGTCTGCCAGACGTCGCCTCCAATTACATCCAAATCAGGCGTTCTTTCTGTTGATAAACCAGCGATCGATAGCAGCCGTGTCTACCACTATGGGGGAGATCTATGAGAGGGAACGGGTATGTCATGACATGTAGTGCACTGTCTATCCGTTCGCGCACTAATGAGTGGTGTGTTTAGGATGAGGACGGCTTCCTGTATGTGGTCTACGCTTCCCAAGAAGTGTTCGGTTGACACATGTGTTCACTCATACGATATGATATTTGGGCTCATTTTGTGGTCATATATCATATGATATATACAGTAATATTTGAATCGTTATATGAATGCATGAATGGACTAAAACTGTATATAAGTTGTATTTGTAATATAAAAACACTTCAATTCATTGCAGAATTCTCTCCAATACTTACTATATGTTTGATTTTCATTGACTGTAATTTCAAATATAATATACAAATTATCCAATTTTCTCTATATTTAAATACACGTTCAAAAGGATTTAAACGTAAAATTATCGATAAATCAGTCCTTAATTGTTGGGTAAAGAAATGCTAAAATATTTAAATACAGTTATTATAATGTAAAACCATTTGTTAACAATTGTCATAAAATATAAACATAAAAAAGTGAATGTCTTTCTGTTTTTGTAATAGATTTTAGACTTCAATCGATTGATTCGACTCTGGAATCGCATTATATTTAGAATTCATTGTTATTCAAAGAATTATAAATAAATGTAAATTAAAATCCAAATTTAATTTTCAATTTATTATTGTGCAAGGTAATACTGTATATTGTATGACATTGCATTGGATAGTACCGTAAGTTATGTCAATTCTAATACCTAAAAGTTAACTAGAATAACGAGTATTCAATTAACAAAGTAAACATGTGATCTAAGTTTACAGTCAAATATTTTTGTACCGTATAAACTTTGTTCAATAACTTTCATTTTATTCAACCACAAGCTTTGCAAAATTTGTACACATTATGCAATTCAATCAAACATACCGTATATTATACGTATTACCGTACACTATACGGAATGATAGCAATGCACAGGTGAGTCATACTTTATTTTTATCAGTAGTAATACAATTAATTTAATTTCTTATTTAACGGTTAATTTACATAATTAAATAGAAAGCTATTCAAAACTAATGTCAAACCGGTTCACATCCATAACCTTTTAATGTCATCAAATTGGTACCACTCAATGCTTTATGGCTGACAATAGCAGCAGATATTTTATGGTAATTCTTGAGTGAATCGCACACAGAGGCCGAGTGGTTGTCGTAACCCATTGGGAGCCGTATATCATATTTTTCAACATTCTTTGCGGCCTTTTTGTAGTATCTCTTCGTCGGACTCCTCACTAACTGTGGCGTCTGTTCCGTCTCATCCGATTGATTACAATTCACTTCTAACTGTTTATCACTTTCTAATTCATTACCATTATTACTATTACTATTATCTTCGCATTCGTTTCTAGTTTTCTTAGATTTCTTGCGTCTCTTTGATTTTTCTTTTACGG